CTTGCAATCATTGGACATCTAGATTGTATTACTTTAACAATAAAAATCCTTACACTTGATATAGAGCTTTTCAGAATGGGACATTCTAAAGCACTTCACATGATAAACCGTAAAGTGGAGTGACTGTGTATTTTGTTGGCAAACACATTTGTCCTCAAAATATATAGTCACTACACTTTGCAGTAAAGTAAGTGATTTTGAGACATTTTGAAAATGTGAAAAGACATATAACACATGCAAGGATTATTTTATTTATTATTACAACTTTAAATGTGGGGGCAAAACACTACAGATGTGAGATGGAAACTCAGGCCATCAGAAGAGCTCTAGAGAAGCACATTAAAATACAGGCCACACCATTAAAACAAAATTTTAAACAAGTGGTAGGGCAAAAGCTGCTGGAAATGGGGTGAAGGCAGGGTGGGATGTATATGCGAGTGAAGGTCAAGAAATAAAAAAGAAAATTTTCTAAATTGAGTTTTTTTGGGAGAAAAGTGAACAGGTAGAAACCAAGAAATGGTTGAGATGTTTGATAACTGGAAACTGGATAATCCAGTTAATCTTGTTCAAGAATCTGTAATTGTACGTCAGCGCAGGGGTTAAGAAACAAGAGTATCAAATATCTATAGAGCATCTGGAGTAGATGTGATTCACCCCAAAAACCCTCAAGGAAATAAACAGTGAAACAGGAGAGGTGCAGGTTATTTTTTTTTAGAAACATACAGGTTCAGTCTGCATTGGATGATACCAAATGTAATGTTTTTGTTTCAAACGGCCCAAGAAAATAGTAATGCACAGATTAAGAAAATGACACTAGTTAGTCTAATGGGGACAGTTAAAGATGTCTAGAAGCACGCTATTGAATGCTATTGTTGCTAATTTTAGAGACCATGAAGGCAAGTTAAAAACATTTTTGGAGTAATTGGCCTTGCCTTTTGACACTAGTTGAAATTCTTTGAGAAGTATCCGAACCAGCGGAATGATTTCAGTTGCCGAAGTTTCTCGGGCATTTGACAAAGTAAATAATTGGATGTTTTTTTAAAGACAAAATGGTTCACAGAATCAATCTCAAATCTGCAACTGGATTGAAATAGTCTCGTTAGATTCATCAAAACAGGAGCTGCCCAATTCAGAGTGTGGCTCCAGGGTTGAACTCAACGTTTCTCTTTATAACAATTGTGTGACACCTCACATGCTGTTCTTATTTCCTCTCCTTTCTATCAGGTGTCAGCCTGGCTGATGTTGGTAGCATTTTTACTTCTGAGACACAAGGTCATGTGTTCAAATCCGATGTCAGAACTTTGAATTTATAATCTAGGCTGGGGGTGCTATCCTTCAGGCGAGATAAAACTGAGTTCCTGTCTGCCTGTTCAGGTAGACATTAAAGATCCCACTGGCCTCCTTGTCAGCCTTGTAACCAGATATGCTGTAAGCTGGCAGTGAAAGGAGAAGGGAGTTTCTCCTGGTGTCCTGGCCAACAATCCCCAAAATAAAATTGATGATTCCCTTGTGGGAAACTACTTTACATAAATTGGCTGCCATGTTTGCTTACACTTTTAATGTATCCCGTGAAGCACTTTGAGACACACTCTCAACAACAACCTCTCAACATGAAAGCTGCTACATCAAAAGTATTATGTTTCATCATCACCATATCTCGTGTCACAGCACCTTCGGCAGACAGGCCAGCTGATGGATCTTTAAACATTATTTCATTGAAAGATCATATAAAAAGCTCCACTGTTCTAATTTCTTAAAAAATATGAAGGAAAACCTTGGATTGGATTGTGATAGCAAATAGTAGCAATCTGTTCAGCAAATTAAGGCCAAGGTGTCCTGGGGGTTGGGAGCAATACTCAGTTTTTCATGTTTCCCATTGTTTTCAAGGAAACATGCCAAGTGGGTTATTTAAATAGATTCCTTCCCCTATTCACACTAATTTTGGACATGTCATGAACATTCAGATCATCTGGAACTCAAACCAGTACTATCCACAGAGATAAGACATCAAGACATTCCATGTTATAATGCACATTTAGGTCTGCTGCTATAACATGTCTAGGTCCAGGGGTCCATATGTACCTCAGTTTTAAATCGGAATTCTGCTACCCAAGAATACTGCGACAGCTGTAAAGTCTGGCACACAATTCATATTAAATAAAATGAATGCAAAACATTCAGTCAAAATAGCACTTTTCGAAAGTCCTTTGTACAGGTATCTGCTGTCCCTGGTTTGGTTTCTGCTTCTCCACAGATTTAAAACAGAGGCACATCTGGACTCCTGGACCAAAACTAAAAAATGTTGCTCCATTCAGATTAAACGAGGATTACTGCACACTGCTAACACAGACACCAAGCCTCACACAGCTCCAGTGACAGGAATCCCACTGGGTTAAAACATGGGAGTTAATCCGACACTATGCTGGCAGAGGTATAAGCCCCCACCCTCCTGATCATTTACTAACGTATGAAAAAAGAAACCTTAAGCTTAAATGTCAGGCTGGCTCAGTTGGCAGCATTCACGAGTCTAAGTCAGAATGTGGTGTGTCAAGTCCCACATTGGGACTTTGAGCCCATCGTCTAGGCTAGAGCAACATATACTTTGTGCTAGTATTTATCTAAAGTCAATTTAAATATAAAGCCTCACTGATTATCTCAGAATTATACTTTATTATTAATCACTTCATTTGGAATCCCCAAATTCTCAGCATTGGTTAGGAGATGGGTCACAAAGTGAGCAAAACTGCAATAGCAACTTGGGTTGCCTTCTCTGCTATGCTGGTCTTTTAAAAGACATTAGTTACAAGTGTACAGCGACTGCTTCCTCCTACACAACACTGAATTGAAACTCAGGAAAGGGCCCAGAAAACACAACTACACGTGCTTAAGATCCTTCACTGCTAAAGTACGGAATGTTCTTGATACGTAACAAACTATTCACACTCCCTCCCCACCCCCCACATCAAATTCTGAAATTGTGGAGGCTAGATTACTATTAAGAAGAAATGAAGGGGCTAGAGCACAACAACATGTCAGGAGGACATCCAAAGGCGCTGGACAGTCAGGGATCAGGACCCGAGCATGGGAGAGGGGTGGGGTAGGGGTGAGGGAAGGCAAAGAGGTGGGAGGGCGACCGAAGGCACGATCAAAGAGGAAGGTCTTGAGACCGGCCTTGAAGGAGGCAAGGGAGGAAGTGAGGCGAAGGGACTGTGAGATGGAGTTCCAGAGTGTGGGGGCAGAGAGGCTGAAAGCCCGGCCACCGATGGTAGAGCAGGTCAGGCAGGAGACATGGAGCAGGCGGGAGCCCCGCTGAACGGAGGGAGCGGACAGGTTGGTAGGGAATCAGCAGGTCAGAGAGGTAGAACGGGGAAAGGCCATGGATAGTCTTGAAAGTGAGTTTGAAGATCTTGAATTCGATGCTCTGGGGGATGGGGAGCCAGTGGAGTTGGGTGAGGGTGGGATTGATGGGGTCGCGGAGCCTGGTGCGCAAGAGTACACGAGCTGCAGAGTTTTGGATGATCTGCAGCTTGTGAAGGGAAGAGTTGGTAAGGCCGATGAGGAGGGATTTTCCATAATTGACCCTTGATGTGACGAATGAGTGGGTGAGGGTTTGGGCAGCCTGAGGGGCGAGGCAGTGGCGGAGTCTGGCAATGTTGCGGAGGTGGTGGTAGGCAATGCCAGTCATGGCACGGATGTGGGGGAGAAAGGACAGTTCAGGGTCAAACCAGACCCCGGGTTCCTGACTGGCTTAGTGAGGTTGAGTGTGCAGCCGTGGAGGCTGATGCTGCCAGCGCCCGAGGTGCGGTGGCCCTGGCGCGAGCCAATCAAGAGGGCCTCGGTCTTGCTGACGTTGAGTTGGAGGAAGTTGTCCCTCGTCCAGGACTTGATGTCGGAAAGGTAGTCGGTCAGGACGCCAGTAGTTCTGGAGTTCAGGGTGGAGGCAGAGAGATAGAGTTGGGTGTCATCCGCATACATGTGGAAATTTACCCCATGTCTGCGGATGATGTCACCAAGTGGGAGCATGTAGACGGTGAAGAGGAGGGGATCGAGGACAGAGCCCTGAGGAATGCCACACAAGACGGTGCGGGGGCTGGAGAAGAAGCCGTTTGCAGAGACAAAGTGGAGGCGGTTTGAAAGGTAGGACCTGAACCAGTCAAGTACAGAACTTTGAAGATTGAGGTGGGAGGAGAGGCGGTGGAGGAGGATTGAATGCTCCACAGTGTTAAAGGAGGTGGAGAGGTCGAGGAGGACGAGGAGGCAGAGGGAGAACTGGTCACATATGGTCAGGATGTCATTTGTGACCTTGATCAGAGCAGTTTCCGTGCTGTGGGCAGCACAGAAACCCGATTAGATGGGCTCATGGAGGGAATGGGAGGCGAGGAAAGAGCGGGAGGCGACAGCTCTCTCAAGGACCTTAGACAGAAAAGGGAGGTGGGAGATGGGCCGGTAGCTGGATAGCTGTAATGGGTCAAGGGAAGGTTTCTTCAAGGTGGGGGTGATAGTGGCTGTTTTGAGGGGAATAGGAACAGTGCCAGATGACAGGGAGAGCTTGATGATGTTGGCGAGTAGTGGGGCAAGGAGGTGGAGCTGGGATTTAAGGAGAGGGATGGGGATGGGGTCCATGGAGCAGGTGGTGATAACAGAGGAGGAGGTGACAGGTTCGAAGGTGTGGAAGGAGAGATGGGCAGTGGTCGGAGTGTGGGGGGGGGGGTGGCTGGGGGAGGGGTGGAAGTTGGGAAGGCAGTGTCAGCTGAGAGGATTCCCTTGATTTTGGACTTGAGGAAGTCCAACAAGTCCACAAGTCACTTCCATTTGTATTCACATTAATACAAAACCCCTCGGTGATTTTGTTTAAGATACGGTGCTGAAAGATTATTACTTTCAAGGGCTGGGGAAAAAAGGATGAATTTTTTTGTTTTAAATTACTTATTAATTTGAGGAAACAGCTGCTGTTTATAAATTAGAGAAGTTTTTTTTAAAAGTATGAACACAATGCAAACCTTCATTCCTGATTATGGTCTCTGTAGCCTCCCCTGCTTTATCTGGCATCACAGCACAGGCCAGTTTACTGCAATCTGAAAGACAAAAAGAAAGGAAAGGATTCTTTAACAAAGCTAATACATTCCTGGAAAAGGAAACCTTAATGCAAGACGAGGATACAGTTTCAAGGTAATCACACAAAAGAGCCAAGAATGCCTGCCCTTTCTGCACAACTGTTCAACAGTGCTCCTCACATTCAGTTTTGCAGTGTGCTTTACTCTATCCGTTGAAATGTTTCACTGATCTGTGTCACTACATGCTCAGAGTTTCCCCAATAATGTTGATGATTGTGAATTTCTTTTAAAGATGTTGAAGCAAATAGCATCAATTTTTTTCAGAAAAATTATGAGAGAATATAGCGGTACAGGTTAGGAGAATAGGAAAGTTGGTGCTTGGTATGAAGTATAAACATCAGTATGGACTGGTTGATCAAATGATCCATTTCTGTGCCATATCACTCTGAGGTGAAAATTATCAGTGATCAGATAGCTGTATGTAGGCAGAACATTTGAAAGGGTTCCCACTTTTGATCACAGTAATACTCTAATCCAGAGCCTAAGGATAGCCATAGGGCAATGTTCACAATTCCTTCTGTTTAACATATCCATAAATAGTTTGACATTTTATTCAGCTCTGTACATCGAGTAAAATGGGTTACAAGTATTCCCAAGGGTAAATGACCTAATTGTTCACAAATTACAGTACAAGGATAGATCAGATCAAGCGTTGAAGAGAATTTATTAACCCAGATGATTACATTGGGGTCAATGTAGTAGTTCCTTCAAAATATATCACGTTGAATGTTCTCTCGATGTGCCAGATGTTCCACCATCCACAATGACAATATCCATAAAGCTCAGTCTGTAGCATTGCATTTTTTGCTCATTTATCACAGCATTTACCATAATAGAAAATTAGCACAGAAGGCAGTCATTTGGCCCATCTACACCAGTGTTCAGAGCAAAACATATGTTCAATCCCACTACCCTCCTCAACCCAGATTGCTTCAAGACTATCTTTCAAATACTGTCTTTTCATATTTGCAGAACGGATCGATTTCAAAATCCTTCCACTCACCTACAAATCACTCTATGCCCAGGCATCTCCCTACCTCTCCAACCTGCTCATACCCCACTCCTCTACCCACTCTCTTCACTCAGCGAACTCCAGCCTTCTACATGCCCCTAGTCCCCTCTGCTCCACCAGCAGCGATTGTGATTTCAGCCACTGTTTGTAGGATAGCAGCTTGTTTGCATGTTTAATAAAACCACCAATGAGCAGTCCAATATACCATTGAAGTTAGCAACAACATGGGGGGAAGAGAGCGAAAAAAAAGATAGCGAAGGTGGTGAAAAAGATCATGTCAGCTTCTCCAATGTGTTAAATGTAGAATCTAACTGTAAAATTAACCCTATGGTACATGATTAAGCCTTCTGCAACAAAATGTAATATCTACAGTCCTTTCGCCAATATCTAATGATGACAACAACAAAAACAACAAAATTACATTTGTAAAGCACCTTTCACATCGGGAGGATGTCCCAAGGCGCTGGACAGACAGTGTTTTGGACCTGAGTTGGGAGTCGGGGAGGGTGGAGGGCAGGGGGAGAAGCAGGGAGAGCGATAGCACGGTCGAAGAGGAGAGTCTTGAGATGTGTCTTGAAGGTGGCGAGGGAGGGAGTGAGACTGAAGGACTATGGGATGGAGTTCCAGAGCGTGGAGGCAGAGTGGCAGAAGGTGCAGCACCAATAGTGGGGCGAGCGAGGTGGGGGACGTGAAGCCTGCTGAGTGGAGGGAGCAAGCAGGATGGTAGGAGTTTCGGAGTTCACAGAAATAGGGGGGAGCAAGACCATGGAGGGCTTTGAAGATGAGGACCAGGATCTTGAACTGTATCCTCTGTGAGATGGGAAGCCAGTGGAGTTGGGCGAAGATGGGGGTGATAGGGTTGTGGAGCCTAGTGCGGGAGAGGACACGGGCTGCAGAGTTCTGGATGATCTGCAGTCTGTGGAGGGAGGAGTTGGGGAGGCCGACAAGCAATGAGTTTGCGTAGTTGAGCCTCGATGTAATGAAAGCGTGTATGAGGGTTTTGGCGGCCTGCGGTGTGAGACAGTGTCAGAGCCGGGCGACGTTGCAGAGGTGGGGGAAGGCAGAGCAGGTCACGGCGCAAATATGGGGTAGAAAGGATAGTTTAAGGTCAAACAAGACCCCAAGGTTCTGGACTGGCTTAGCAAGGTGGAGTGTGCAACCATGGATGGTGAAGCTGTCAGCGCCTGAGGTGAGGAGGCGCTGACGGGAGCCAATCAGGAGAGCCTCGGTCTTGTTGACGTTCAACTGAAGAAAGTTAATTCTCATCCAGGACTTGATGTCTGACAGACATTCAGTCAGGACAGAAGTGGTACTGGAGTCAAGGATGGAGGCAGAGCAGTACAATTGGGTGTCATCCACATACATGTGGAAGCTGACCCCATGTCCGCGGATGATGTCACCAAGAAGGAGCATATAGACAGTAAACAATAACAAAATTACATTTATAGAGCGCCTTTCATGTCGGGAGGGCATCCCAACGCGCTGGATATTAAAGAGGAAGGAACCAAGGACAGAGCCCTGAGGATTGCCGCTCGAGACGGTGCGGGGGTTAGAGGAGAAACCGTTTGTGGAGATGAAGTGGAGGTGGTGTGAGAGGTATGATCTGAACCAGTTGAGGACAGAGCCATGAAGGTTGAGGTGAGAGGAGAGACGGTCAATGAGAATAGAGTGGTTGATGGTGCTGAAGGCAGCAGAGAGGTCAAGGAGGATGAGGAGGCAGAGGGAGCTCTGTTTGCAGATGACAGGATGTCATTTGTCACTTTGACCAGGACGGTTTCTGGGCAGCACGGAAATCCGATTGGAGAAGTTCGTGAAGGGAGTTGCAGAAGAGGAAGGAGCGAAGCTGAGAAGTATCATTCATTCCAGGACCTTGGAGAGGAAGGGAGGGTGGAGATGGGGCGGTAGTTTGAGAGTAGAGATGGATCCAGGGAGGGTTTTTTTTAAGGATAGCAGTCTGACCAGTCTAACATAAAATTAGAAAACAGAGGGCTAAGAACATAGTGCTCTTTGTTTAATTACTTTTCTTACAATTCACCTTCTCTCTACTTCAGCTTGATCCATTGTAAGAAATGCCAAAGTTATTGAAGATATTTGAAAAGTTTAAAGACATTGCATATTACAGAAGTTTAGGCTGATGTAGTAGGGGTGCCCAGCGTCCGTAGTCCTCCCATGTATAAGGGGGTGTGCTGAGCTGTCAGGGATGCCATCCTTTGATGAAACATTAAACTGAGGTCCTGTCTGTCTGTTAGGGGAGATGTTAAAAATCCCATGGCACTATTTGAAAAGAGAAAGGAGTTTCTCCCGAATGTCCTGGCCAACAATTCCCTCAGATAAAATTGATTATTCACTTCATGGCTGGGACATCCTCCTGACCTTAAAGGCACTATACAAATGTAATTTGTTGTTTTTCTTGTGCGACCCTGCTGCATACAAATTGGTCACCACATTTGCCTACAAAATACACAGTCAATATAAAACAATTATGGAATGCTTTGAGCAGTGTTGACAATGTGATGGTGCTGTATCAAATGGAGGTATTATTAGACCACTGAAAACTGGTCAATTCATCAAAAGGTTTGGGAACAGAGGATGTTAGAATTAGAATACATATTCCGTTCCCTCACTGAAAACAGCACCAACATTAATAAGCGAACAAATTTCAACTGTTTCCATTTAGAAGAGGAACGTGTACACCGACAAATGCTTGTGATGGTACTACGATCAGAATTAAATCACATTTGTAAAAATCACCCTGATAGGAACATTTTACAGAGGAATCAGTTCCATGGCATTTTTTGTTGCCTCCCATTCATTTTGGAATCCTGAGATAATAATACAGTGCAGCCTTGTTATAATGCACAACTTGGCTTAACGCATCCCATTCCATGGCCCTTATGTGCACTTGCCTGCTTGGTTTTCATTCATTGAATGACTTTTGTGCTAAAAATGACCAACTTCTAGATCGTTAGTTCACAGGCAATGTCACTTCCTGTTTGCTGTACTGATGACTGACAGGCTTTTAAAGATCATGGGAACCGGTAATGAGCAGGGAGCGAGACAGCCAGCTGGATACATGTACCATCGTGGCTCATTGGTGGTAAAATGTTTGGATTTTATTTGATCCCAAATGCTACTGTAGTTGCATTTGACTGAGACAATCACATCAAAACCTCCCAAAGGGCTTTGGAGGTTTTTCTCTGTAAAGTGTGGCAATTGCGTATTTATATATGAAAGTGGCAGTCGATTTGTGCACAGCCACGAAGTGAATAACCAATTGTATGGGGGGGAGAAATCATTGGCCAGGGCACCTGAGAAACTCCCTTCTCTTTTTGAATAGTGCCATGGGATCTTTAACTTCCACTTGAACAGGCAGACAGGACTTACAAGACACTACTCTCCATCAAGGATGTTGGTGGTCTCATCTGAAGGAGGCACCTCTCAACAATACAGGCTCCCCTTAGCACTGCACTGGAGTGTCAGCCTTATAAGACATATAGATAAATATTAGTAAATGTTATTGCTATGAATCCAAGTGTTAAAACAACTGAAAGTTTCATCATGACACCAAGTATGTGCACGATTGAGGTGCCAGATAGCAAATAACAATGACATCATAATTCTTAGTCAACAGGTTAGAGCAATTGTCATACACTCAAACTTGTTAATGCTGTGATGGAAAGATGGTAGGGTGGGTATTTTGGAAGGACAAGAACTTGGCTGAAAGGCTCTCTTCATCCAAACCAATTCTGTGAGCAGCTCCCAGAAAGTGTCTTCATTTTTCACAGAAGTATCGACAAACAGAAAAGCAGCAAGCTAGAGTTCCTCAACTGAACACTAAAAATATGTTGCAACCTTCAATATGATGTCTAATCTAAGATTGTAGTGGTTAGTAATTTGGTTTAGGTACTCTCAAGTATGGAGAAGGGTTGTCGCAAGTGTCAGTCACCCA